GTAGTAAAATAATTTATAGTTAAATAATGAATTTACATATACAATTTACTATATAGTTTGATTTATTTATTTTAAAATGCAAATCTATTTTAAAACTCTGGTTTGGAACTACGGAAATTGACAGAATTACTTTATCCAGCCCTTAGTACCAAAAAGGTTGACTAACACTATGTTCAGACAACGGACTAAATTGAGTAATTTATGTTGTAAATTGTGCTAACTATTTTGGACTTTCCGCACAGTCTATATTTTCAAATATGTTTTAATATCTATTTTGTTCTGAAAAAAAACTTTTGAAGGCCAGATAAATTGTGTAACCTACTTAAGAAAACGGCACTAAATTGTTTATCACTACATTTCTGATTTACAAATACAACAGCTGCACGGAGAGTCTGAATCAATTTTCGTTGAATTAGTTACTATTAAATTAATACCCAGTTTATAAAGGTTAAGTTGATGAGTTGAATCAACACACAATTTACAAAATTCCAATTAGTTGACTATCTGTGAAATTAAGTACTAAATTAGTACTCAGTTTATAAATGGAATTTGTTTAGAGTAAATTGTTTTCAAATTTCTAACTTTTGGCGATCTAACCACAGTATAAGCTAAATTAAAAAATTTATTAAAAAATGCCAAACCAGTATTGAATGGAAATGAAATTACAAAAAATGATCAAATTACTATGCGATTAACAAATTTCTCGATTATTTCTTATACATATTTTTTTCTGAAATTATCTCAAATCGAACACAATTTTCTTGAAATTTATAATTATGTTTTTTTTTTTTAGTTAGGGGATTCACAAGACGTGTTAACCGTCGTAAAATCTTAAGCTTAACACTTGTTTATGTAAAATAGCGGTTAAAATGGTTGGGGGGTTGGCTAATTATATATTCTTTATCAGTTTAAAAGAATTTCGGTTTAGTTAGAAATCCCCTAAAACCATTTTAATTAAAAAAGATGTTAACCTTAAGATTTTACGACGGTTAACACGTCTTGTGAATCCCCTAAGTATGTACATTAATTTTAGAAACCGTAATGGAAAATTTAGCATAATACCATAATTAGAATACAAAAGAAAGTGTGGGAATAATAAAAAATAAATAAATTCTAATGAGAAAAAAGGAAAAACACAGAACTATATTTTTTTTAACTTCAGCAGATAATCTCTTTAATATTTAAATAAATCTTTTTTGCTTTTGCTGACAATTTCCGTCTGTTTTAACAATTTCTATATGAATTCATTCTAATTTTTAGGCTGGGATATGAAAATTAAGTCTCAAATTAAAATTAAACAAGTAAGTCATAAAGTCTATAACAGTCTTATTTATTGTTAAGAATTTGTTGTAAGTATTAATTTGAAGTAAATTAGTGTCCTCGGTTTTTGAAATATCGGAGTTGTCGTATTTTTGAAATTTACCGTTTTGAAAAATTTTCAACAAAGTGCTTTTCCGTGCCAAGGTTATAAGGTGCACCAATTTTGGTTGAATTTTATGAATCATTTCCCGAGATAAACATTTGTGGTCATAAGTGGGCGGCGCCACGCCCATTATCAAAAAACTTATAATAATCAAATTTTCTGGTAAGTTATTATGGCAATAATCGATTTTTGGGGAATTAGCTTCAATAATTAATGATTTATCGCAGTTTTTGTGTTTCTGTAAATTACCTATATATGGGAGGTGGGCGTGGTTATGGCTTGATTTCAAAGATTTTTAACAAATCTCTTAGTTGGAGCCTAAGCAAGGCTAGGATCGAGTTTGGTAAGGATTATTATTTTTTATCATAATTCTACTTTACATACTCTTTTTCAAAAATTTCGATTGAATATTTACAGAAATATCGTAGTTTTTGCATTTTTCGAAAACACCGCTAGATGAGAAGAGGGCGTGGTTACAGTTCGATTTCACCGATTTTCAATACCAACCTACCTTATACCAAATTTCATTGAGATATCTCAATTTTTGCTCGAGCTATTGTGTACAAGGACGGACGGACGGACAGACAGGCGTGGCTTAATCGACTTCTCTTTTCTTTCTGATCATTTATGTATACATTTGTCTATATCTATCTCGATTCGTTTTGGCTGTTACAAACAAGCGTTATGTGAACAAAATTATAATACCCTTGTAAAAAGGCACTCAGACAACAACATTACTAACTTCAATTTATGTACATCTGCATATTAACATTTTTTTAACCCTTTTCCTATGAGCAAAAAAAACTACAATTTTATCATACTTTGTCAGTAGAGTAATTTTTTGCGAAAAAATGGTCGACCAGAAGGCGATTTTTAGTTTTCAAACCCCTTCTTCAAATTTTAATTTTAAGTAGTCTGTCTGGGAGTGAGTTAAATATTTCAGAATCAAGAAAAAAAGTTTTAATACCAATTTCTTTCACTGAAGCTATTCACTAATTAATGTGGAAAAAGATAATGTAACAAGGTAATTAAAAAATTGTTTTCCAGTTTTTGTTTAGTTAGAATTTCCAAAGTCGACTGTCTTGAAAACCTGAGTTAAACTACACATAAAAAATTACTATAATTAACTATAGTTACCAAAATAGCTTTAATACATAAATTTTACTATTTAGAGTTGGTTTGACAACTTTTAAATTATTTGCCAAACTTGTCAACATTTTTTATTTTACAATTTTCGTGGTAAGCAAAAATATTACCCACTTTTAATTCACATTTTTAATTCGAAAGTCAAACCGAAATTTATTATGTATGTATGTACATATGTATGTTCTCAATAGTAGTTATTTATGAATAAACATATGTAAATTCATTAAAGAATTCCAACTTCCAGCAAAAAAAAAAGAAAACCCGCTTCGCATGGAATTTTGTTTTCGCCGGGCAGCTAGCTAGCGCTACAAATGCATACACAGGCGAACACACAATGGGGTGAAATGGATGAGAAACGCTAAGCTTTGCTGTTGCTGCTGCTGCTGCTGCTGGCATAGCGAATGTATAAATGTGTACATGCAAACAACAAATCAATACATACATATGTTTTTGTTAATTTAGGCAAAGCAAATTGACTTAAGCCACAATAGCGCTTTTTTTTCTTTTAACTCTGTAGTGAATGCGGCGATGTAGGATATCTACGCTTTTTTTCAGAAAAATAATAAATCTGTATTTTATGTCATTTCCTTTCATTTCATTTCATTTGATTTAATTTATTTGATTTTTATTGCGCTAGTTGGTTATTATGCGTGATTTTATTGCTTAAAAATTCAAACGAAAGAAGCGCTCGCCCGGACCAGCAGTTGCTATTAAATTTAAATATTTGATTTGCTAGACATTTAAAAACAGTTAGTTTTTCATTTTTTATTCGTTTCTCTCTTCTTCTCGACACGTGTGTTTGTACATCTAGCTGCTAGCGTTCAGATTTTTACGTTGTACTTTAGACTTTACAACAACAATATGTAATGTTTTAGTTAAGGCATGCGGAGAAGATGGACAGCAGCACCGCAACGAATGGCAAATGCAAAGAAAAGATGATTAATACAAATATTGGCCAAAATCCAAGCTTATCAACGTTGTGAGGCTGTGTAAGCGCATATACAGACATGCAAACGCACATGCATACAAGTTTACGTTTGCGAGTAACTATACCTAGGGTATTCACATACTATAGTAAGTAGTTTTATTATTAAAATTTTGCTAGCGAAATTGGAAATGAAAATAATAAGATAAAAATTTAGGCATAATAGCCATTGCAACATTTACACAAATATATTTATATGTACACCCAAGGGCAAAATAATAGAAACAACTTACTTTGAGCTGTTTTGTCTATATTTCTGTTCTTTATTTAAGATTTATTATTTTTGTTTATGAAATTGCAGCTCACTTTCTAACAAAAACAATGTAAGTTAATATGTATTTAAATTTTTGTGAAAATTATAAAAATTCTGCCAGTTGCATCTAAATTTTTAAGTTCCTAAATAACGCGTGCAAAGTATGTTCGACAGTTTTTTTTTTATGGTAAGAAATGCGTTATTATTATGCATTTTATGTATGTAAAAATAAAATAAAATCGGAAAGCACAATTACTTTCATATTCAGATATTTTTAATAAAGTTTATATACAAATCCGGTTGAGTTTGATATTTTTTTCTAAGAATGATAATGCAAGTGAGTGAGGGAAGTAAAGGAAGGAACGAAACAAGAAAAAGTACTAACATACAGTTAACATAACCTAAAAAATTAAGTCTTGTCTTGTCTTATTAAGGATTAAAAAATCGGCAATATGTCACTTATGAAATATTTGGAAAAATTATGAGAAGCGAGTTTCCGTTCCATTCATCAGCTAACACCCTTTTCCATCTGCTTCAGTACCGTTTTTCAAATGGCTCCACAAATTATAATTGCATTTAATCGGTGAAAAGGTCTATATAATGCTTCGCAGGGAAATCTTTTTGGTGCTGTTATAGCAGCATACATTTTAAATAAGCAATTTTAGAGAAGACTGCCGAGGTGACAGAACTTGACCTGTAATTTTTGGGCCCGTTTTGTTTTTGCATCTGGGTCGTTCGTGATTCGTCCTCAGTCCGTATATATCAATAGAGTCAAAGCACTCTATCACCTTAGTAGGCACCAAGTAAGAATGGTTACTGACAACTGCAGGGTAATGAAACACTTGTCCAACATTGCAGTTGCTAACTCTGGCCAGTATATTTAGATTGTGTTACAAAGAACAGGCAACAGCCGAACACATTATATGCCACGGTGAAGCCCTCATTAGGACCCGACTTCGCTTCCTAGCCAAAGGACCCTGCGAGGTTTCTTAGCAATACGTGGACCAAAGAAGACCTGCAGCGAAAAGAGGTTTGTTACAATAGATCGCTCTCGGTCGCGGTAATTAAATGACCTTTGCTCCCGCCTCTAAATCAAATCTAATCTAATCAGTTTCGAGGACCCAACTGTTCAAGTCTGAGTCCGTGACAGTCCTTAGTTCAACTTAAACGTTCATCAATATCACAGCACAGGGTGGTGGTCGAAGATCGAAGAAGCAAGGAGCTCATTATGTCGGAATTGCACCATGCACTCTAGAGAGCTTTGAACATATTTGAAAATATATATATACATTTTTTTACAGGAGAATTTGAAAAAACTTTAACAAGAAGTTAGTAGTTTTAATGGTTTCTGGCAATTTTGCAGCATTGTTGTTTCGGTCCAATGCTACTAAAGGGGCTGGGACATCCTGGCAGAGCAGATAAAGCTGTTTTTTGTTGATTATACTTATTTTCAAATAAATCACCACCCAATTGCGGGTGCAATAGATTTCTAGTAAATCTTGAAAATGTTAAGAAGCCATATAAGTGAAAACACAAAATTAGGCAAGTTTACGTGGTTTACTTGGTTACGAAGCATTTGCTCGTTTAGATGAATACTCCAAATATACATAAATGAAAAAATGCGCTTTCAACTCACCTGCTCTCGACTCTGTAATTCTTCGAAATATGTTATATCTTGCCCGTTAATTGTAATTTTTCCTGTACCAGGCAGCCGTATAGTAACATCGCCACGTGCGGCCTTACGTAAACACTCTATTGGTGAAGGGAAATATTAAAACAAATTACTATTGCAAACTAGCTTTTGCAAGAAAACAAACAGGCATACCATATGTAGTAACAAATTGACGACCATCTGCATCGAATTGTGGTTTTGGTATTTCCAATTGTTTTGTTTGATCCAGCAACGGTTTGGCGAATTTGTTAATAAAGTCACGACTTTTATATGAAAATGGTAATGACACTAAGCGATCCATGGCATTTGTAAAATTTGTATACTCTAAGTCGTTAATGTGTTCGACCAACTTGGTTTCAAGTTGACTCTTAGGCAACCACTCGAAACCAGTGAAGTCCCTAAAGTGAAATACATTTTGTTAAGATTTTACAAAATCTTGCTAAGAAAAAATTAAAACTCACACTTTCTGGTTTGGGTCAGCGCGCGTGCCACGACGCAACATACGTTCTTCCAGTTCATATAATTTATTCATCTCCTCCACAATATCCTAAGATAATAAAAAAAATACACTCAATCACTATGCACAATAGTCCACTACTGCCTGATTGTACTCACGAACAACAATTTGAAGAAATTAGGGCTTCCAGTATAAAACATACTGTGGAATGGCCGACCCGTTTCGTCAAACTCCGCCGCTTTACGCACTGGAAAGATTTTTTCCGGACTTTTCATTAGCGGTCGTGCACGTTTGTCGAACAAGCCCGAGGGAAATAGATATTCGATTGCATTCTGATGGGAAGAATATTCGTTCACTTGTATAGATGTTAAAGGCTTAAATATACACACTATGTGTACTCACATCGATATCCTCTTGCGTAAATGTTTCTGGATCTTCGCCCATCATGTTAGCCAAGTGCCTTTTACCAATTTGATACTCTAGCTTTTGTGTTTTCATGAATTCATCATTTTCTCGCGCACGTTCGAGGTA